ACCCCCTGCCCCTCCTTTATATAGATCTCTCCATGCCATTACAGCTTTATAGATGCTAATCCATGTGACTATCGTCCAAATTGCTTTCTTTTGTAGTGACACTGAACTTGGCTATAAAAGGCGGACTAGGTGACATTCAGGATGGACGTTAATGGAAACGCAAGATTGAAATGTAAATTGTCTCAGAGGACTGGGAAGCAAACAAAAGTTACACCTTCACCTGTTCTGAGTGATGTGGAGTTGTTTCCGTCCCCATCATCTGGACTTGGGAGTCTCCAGAAGTCGATACAAATCCCGGGAAGTAGTTTGTTAATCCAGACTAACTCCTCCATTGCGTTTTCTTCGATTGTTACTGTTCTTATGCTGTTTTGTGAACCTGTAGAAAGCAAGTGCTTTTTCATCTTGAAATCCAACAAAATGGAAAGAATATGCATAGAATAATGCATATATGTAGCCATGTCACTGTGAATAACAATTTTTGCGTATTAGCCATTTTGATTCTTATGTTGCATCTTTTACTTCTCTGTTGCTGCGCAGAACCGATCAAAAGAAAAGTAAACTTCAGTTTTACAATCTGTATGCCTAAAAGCGGGTATTACCGTTTTATTTACTGACTTGTTTAAATGATTCGCTTTTGTAAGAATCAGATGGCATTATGCTTATTGTACAATGCCATATTGGTATATGACATAACAGGAAACAGTATTGTATGATATATTTATAAATACTATAAAGAAAATATTGTGTTTCATGCACTCATGATATGGTTGTTAAATTTCTAAACTGGTTCGACCCTTGCAGATGCCGCCTGTTTGAGCTTTGCTCATACTGCAAGAAACACTTTGGGTGTGAGAACTACAGTATTGGGAAAGCACATTCAAGTCTCTGATAACCTGGAGGCAATTGGCAATCTTAAAAGGATTTTACTGGCTTTGTCTTTTTTTCCAAGTGATATATTTTTACTTTACCAAATGTTGAAGTGATGCAGTGAAGGAAAAAAAAAAAAAAGTTAAGGGACATGGAAGTCTTTGACCTGTTTGATTACCTTTTTATTATTTGGTGTGGTGGGACTGTGTTTTTAAAAGCACATGGAATCATTATAGAAGCCATAAACTTATTTGGTATAAATTTTAAGGAACCAGCAAGTTGCTGGATGAAGGCATTTTATCTAAATTTGTTTTAATATATATGTATATGGTACAGTACTAACTTCATTAAAATTTAACAGGTACTTTAATATTTCCAATAAATTGTGGAGAATGCCTCCTCTTTAATGGCCTGCAAATAGGTGCATTTTATTAGAGGCTTCTAAGGGTATTATTTTTTTCAGTAGAGGGAACTTTTCCACCATAAAATATGAACAGCCCAGAACACTTTTCAGTTTGTGCTTTGCTTTGGTCGAACTTCATGTGTGTTCATCACCCATCAGTTATACATTTGTGAGGGTGTTTATTCTATATGGATATTGTTTCATGTTTGTACGGGAAAATTGTAGTTAAACATTTCATTGTCTCCAGTCTGCAAAAGAAGCACAATTCTATTGCTTTGTCTTGCTTATAGTCATTAAATCATTACTTTTGCATATAAATTGCTGTTATTTGTCCTGCTTGTTTTTATAGACCAGGTGATTGCAAATCCTCCACAAGGTTATTGCTTATTGATGTATAATGTCTTGTTAAACAAGAGTTGATATTTTTTTCCTGTAGTAAACATGTACAGTTCAATTTCAACAGTAAAAACTTCAGTTTTATATACACGAATAACTTTCATTTATAGCTGATCAAAGAAATAAACAAATAAAAGGGATAATTCATTGAAAAATAGCAAATGACCTCTGTTGGTAATGTGGGTGTTAAAGGACAAACATCTTGTTCTCATGGGAAGTCTTTCTGGGTGTACAACAGATTTTAGTGAACAGAACGGTAGAGTACTAAAATAACAAAAATAACAAAAAAAAAAAGCGCCTTAAAATCGCCATGATTTGTTTTGATCACCTGCCTCGAAAACATTTGCTGTTCTTTATTTGACCCCGAATTATTCTTGAAAATAAGCAAATGGTGTGTTCTCAGACCCCAGCCAGGCACAGGCTTCACCTCCTCTCTGTTCAAACTTAGCCCCCGTGAAACTGCACTGGCTGGGAAGGGCAGAACAAGGGTTTTGTGGGGGCGAGTGCCAGGTTCCGCCTGTGCTGCTCTGGATTACTTTTTAAAGCCTCAGTGGAACTAAATACGTTTTAATGTAAAGATATCTCTCCGTGCGGCCGAGTGTCTGTCTTGGCACGATTCCCTCAACTATATGAGTTAATCACACTGCACTGGTTGAATTAATTCACCCAAAGACCAGCACCGAACCTGCAGCAGAGGCTTGTGCGTTAGCCCACCGATCAAATCGCGCTTATTTATACTGCAAATAGCTGATAATCACAACTTTTAGCGTCAAAACGGGACTGTTCTCGGTGTTTATAAGTGTCCACGAAGCATAAAGCAATGAAACAGGAGCTGGATAATTCCCTTCGAGGTTTATTAAGCTCTTACAGCCCTTTCGACATCTCCCAATTTGACATCTTCCCGTCTGAAAAAGAACAAACGTTTTCAGTAGCTCTCTTGCCGAGCTGCAGAAGCCGCTGAGGATGTTTGTGCTGCCATGTGAAACTTTTGTTTTGCTGCTGGCCCTAGGCAGATGGCACTGCGATGCGTATATATTGCTAAGCACATTTGGGAGGACGATCAAAGATAGCATCTTGATGTTCTACTTGCGAAGCTGCCGTGTCAACCTTCCCGGTTTCACAATGTTTTCCTTTGCAGCTACATACCGACCGGGTTTCCTTACAAATGTAAGTAAATCCTCCCTATTTGGAAAGAAATCTCGGCTCGGCATATGTAAGAAGAATATTTTCATGATCCGACGTTGCATTTGTATAGATCGAGGGATAAAACCGAAGTCTGCTGCGTTTTTCCGAGCTTTTCTGAGCTTGTTCAACAAGCAAAGGTAGGGACAGGGGCGGTCTGTGCCGGCTGGGAAATGATCTTCTGACTTCGCCCGACCAAATTTTCCGCCCTGGTTTAGCTGCCTGCAGCTCCAGGCAGCGCTTTTGTGCCCGGCCGGAGCGGGGGATAGGCGGTAACGATCCAACCCCGGGGAAAGCGGGGGAGAGGAAGCGCGAAAGGCTCCGCAGGCTTCTGGAGAAGAGAGGCAAGGACGGGGAGAAAGAGTGCAGAAATACGCGGAGAGAGGAAGAGAAGGGGCAATGACGAGCTTGCTAAGCCGAGCTGCTTGTCCCCCAGCACCGAGCGCTGCTCAAAGCACCCCGCGCCGCTGGCTTTCACAGGCCGGTGCCGGTGGGCGGGCACCGCCGAGAAGCGCCCGAAAAGCGGCGGCGTCCCGGGGGCCGGAGAGG